GTGGGTGGAGTCAAAGGAGGTAATGTCAAAACTAAGATCTTATAAAAATCTTTTCATAAAAGGAGATCAATGAAGATAACAGCCTTAAAGTTCTTTTCTACCTTGCCGTTTTAAGATGATGTGAGGGGGATATAGGGCTGTCAAAGGAACAAACAGGCACACTTGGGTTCGCTTCTAAAAATGCTTTATTACAAGTAACACAAAATAACCTTACATTAAAATCAATACCAAAATATTGGATCAAAGGCAATGCAAAATAATTCCATATCACAAGTGATATCCAATGGTATTATAAATCATGAACAATAATCAAACTGTCCATACAACTGATTATATGCATACATATAAAGTACCAATTAATATTATTGTTATTGTGATTCTCATAAAATGATAATTAATCCCAATAATAATTAAATCAGTATACAGACACTGCAAAGCTATTCACACTCGGACGTGCCAACATCACCCACCTTCACTTTTAGACTGGGGAGCCCTTTTTAGTCCTGGTAGGAGATCAACACGTGAGTCCTGAGAAAGTGCTGGCCGATGCGCGCTTTATCCCACGGCTGAGCTCCAACCAACACTGAGATCTCCCCCTTCCTTTATACTAATTTTTGGGCATTACATGTGGGCAGGGGAGGAGCTGGGCAGGCTCACCCCTCCCCTCAGGCAAGGCATTCTCAAATTTCCAATCTTGTCCGGGTAATGCGGCTTGCGGTTAAAATGAGAAATACAAAGACAAGTTCCCATAATCAACACGTTCCCCTTTTCTCTAGATAAGATCAGTATCCCACACACCAATTGCTAGATATGGTTTCAATCAAAAGTATCCTTGATCAACTTCCCTTTTCTCATGAGAACATCTTCTGAGAACAAAATAAGCGGCCCACACACAATGTATAAAACACATGTTGGAACACATGTTGGACCACCCTTTCTTCCCAGGAAAACCCCTAAAAAACAAAGTAAGCATCCTTGAATGGGGTTAGCATCTCATGAATCAGAAATAACAAGACAAGTGTCCTTGAACAGAATAAGTATCCCAGGACAAGAATTCTTGGGACAAGATAAGCATGCTGATTCTTCTCATGAGAAACAAGTTACACAGTTCAACCTTGACAACAATATTATGAGTGAATCATGGACGATATTGTCGTTGTATCTGAATCTCAGGATGATTAGTTCTCACACGGTCAGAATCAATCCACACCTCAATCACCTCATATGTATGTCTACTAGGTGGAGTTGGAGGTACTCCGCCAAATCGTGAGTAGTGAAGCCGGACAATTACAACCTCCCAAATCATGACAGTGACAGGGGGACATTCAACATATTTCTTTAATTCTATGCTGTGGGGGCGACGTGGCCAGTTGCGGGGCCACCTGTGAGTTCGTCTTAATACACTTGCTTTGGCCAAAAGCATGTCGAATGTACATTTTTAGTGTTTTTAGGGTTTAGTAGACATATTAGTTAAATGCTGTAAATGTATAATTATACTTGAATAAAATGTAATATTAATATTTTGAATTGTGTATTGTTAGGCAGCGGTAACATTTTTGTGGTGTGAAGAGTTCTTTTTATAGAAATGATGCAGGTCTTTTGAAACATTTTGGTACATATTGGTAACTGCCAGTCTTTTCTGTTTTATCCCCGATTCAGAGATGAAGAGGGTAGCATCCTGGCAGCATCAAAGAGTGGCCTTCCTTGTGGCCATTTGGCTGCCATTCTGCCTTGGCCAGACCACGTCTTCCCCTCAGCACCATGGGAGCAACCTTAAGTTCCGATTGGCTGGCTACCCACGCAAGCACAACGAGGGACGTATAGAGATCTTCTACCAGGGCGACTGGGGCACCATTTGTGATGATGACTTCTCCTTGGCAAACGCGCATGTGCTTTGTCGCCATTTGGGTTTTACTTCAGCCATAGGTTGGACCCACAGTGCCAAGTATGGAAAGGGAATAGGTAAGAGACCTCACCTTGTATGCTGTGTCCAGGTTTGTTCACCTTACTGCAAAAAGGACATTGCTGTTTTAGAAGTGGTCCAACGCAGGGCTACAAAAATGGCCTTAGAGGGATGTCTTACGAGCAGAGGTTGGCAGAGCTGAATTTGTTTAGCCTCAAGCAAAGGAACCTAAGGGGTGATATGATCCAGGTGTATAGGATTCTAACAGGTCTAAATGCTGTTCATAGAAACTTTTACTTCAAAATAAGAACCATTGGCTACAGTTGAAAATGAGTGGGGTAACACTTTAGCTTGGGTCTGAGAAACAAAACTTCTTCTCACAGTAGGTAATTAGAGTATGAAATAGTCTGCCCGAAGGGGTAGTGCAAGCTAAAACCCGAGATTCCTTCAAATCTGCACTTGACAAGGTCCTGCCAACTTAAAATTATTAAGTTTAATTTCCTCCAAGCAAGCTCAATGGGCTGAATGGCCTCCTCTCGTTCGTAACTCTCTTATGTTCTTATAAGTAAAGCAGCTATGTAGAGATGTCATGTCTGGTATGTTGAAGCCATTTTGGATGTCTTCTTTTCATACACCTACCTGATTAATCCCAGGGGCTAAGTTAGATCTCATCAGGCTTTTCTTGTGTCCTGTTCTATGTACAGGGAAGATCTGGTTGGACAATGTGCAGTGTGTTGGCAGTGAGAAGAGCATAGACCTCTGTAAATCCCGAGGCTGGGGCAACAGCGACTGCACCCATGATGAGGATGCTGGCGTGGTTTGTAAAGATGAGAGGTTGCCAGGTTTTGTGGACAACAACATCGCTGAGGTAGGATACTTGTACTGTCAATTACAGTCATCAATGAGCTCATTTAAACATGAGAATCCTTAAAAAAATTAGACTTACTGTAACACTTAAAATAACTGATCCCATAGTATTCATCATTGCTGTTAGGCTAATTGCCTTCTTTAAATTGCCCATGGTGTATGAGTGTGTGCATATATGTGCCCTGAGATGGACTGGCATCTGGTGCAGGATGCCCCCTGCCTTGTGCCTCTGCTACCTGGGATAGACTCCAGGCCCTCTTGTGACCCTAATTTAGAAGATGGATGGAATTCTGTTAAAGTATTGATTTAAATGATTTAAAGTTTATGGAAGTCTTCCCCATATTACATAACTCTAATGCCTGGCTTTGTATGAAATTCTGTTTGATATGGTCTTGCTTTTTAAAAATAAAATGCATATCTAGTCCATATGGACTTCTGCATGCTGTACACATATACCTGTCGAAGTATGTACAATTCAGGAGTGGCTCATTTTAAATGAACTTTAGGTATGCAATATATGAGCATTTTGAGCTCTGCTCTGGTGTTGCAAAACAAAAACTTATTAAAGCATAGATGAAGATAGGGACATACATTGACAAGTAAATTTTAAGCCTGGTTTGATGATTTCTTGCCTAACCATTTGCCCACCACTGCACTGCTCAGTGCTTGCAAATCCACTAAATCAGTTTACCAGTGAACAAAATCTTGAAGAAGCATACTCCCCTCAACCCCCTTGCCTGAAAGGAGCAATTTTTTCAGAAGAAGCACTATGGCCTCAGATTTGGAGGTTAGAGTCTCATTCTGTCCACTTCCCACCCAGCACTGAACTTAAGTGTGTGTTGGAGGTCCTGGATGAATCATAGAAATAGTACAGATAACACCTCTAACCCCCCCCACTGCAATTGGACACTCTTCTAGCCACAGCTGTGGAGCTTTTCTTCTAATCCAATGAAATAATATATCTTGGCAGAATGGTTTTTTTTTTATTTTCAGGATAATTAGGACAATTATTTGCTAATCCCAACCATCCCTAAATGCATATTCATGGCAGCACTGTCCTGCTTGTAATAGGGGGAATTTACAACAGACCAGACCTTTATTGCATTGCCATTTTCAGGGATGAACCGGGAAACTCAGGGTACCAGACAACAAATGATCTTTGAATAAACTGCCGTTTTTAGTAAAAGCTTACAAACTCTCTTGCTCTCTGATTTTGTGAACTGAACAGCTTTCTGGGCCTGCATCTGCCCTATATGACAGCCACATCCCTACTTCTGGTAACTCCACTCCTGGTCTAGAGCTTGAGGTCAGGCAGCTTGAATGGAAAAGGTTCATTCAAGGCAATTCAGTGTGGAATAGTGTCTGTCAGGGAAAAAATGTCGTATGTTCACTGTGCTGCTACTGTATGAATCAGGTTTTTGAAGGTTATGTAGTGATACTGTACTCCCGTTATTGCCAGGCTAAGTATGAACGTGGTCTGTAGGCCCTAGCTTGTACTGTGGTCCATCAGCCTAATTGAATCCATTTTGCATGTTTAAAAAGTAAAACATTTAACCCTTGTTTGTTTAACTGAAGGAAGTGTCATATGTGCCTTGCAGAAGTGGGTCTTTTTGTGCTTGTTTAGGAAGATTGATTGTCTGAAAAGTGCACGTTATGCTTAGTACTGCAACAGATGCTTCAAATTTTATTTAACCAATTTTGCCGTCTGAATACTAAAAAGTTTAAATGATTAGACGTTACATACTGGTAACAACAAAGTGTAAAATTATTCAACAACAATGTAGAATAGAGAGCTGCGTGGATTTGACTGGTGCTGAGAGCATAAGTGTTTAGTGGAACTTTGGGGCCTATAGCAAACTGCTGTTTTAGTCTTGGCATTATCACAAATTTGAAGATTAGAGTTGAGCTCCCAAAAAGATGAGTGGCTCTCTGCCTCTGGAGCATCTCTGACTGATATTTTGGAGTCAGATTGTTTCCCTCTGCAGCTGTCATGACAGGGACGAATGAGCAGCCCATTAAAAACACATTTATTGCCATTCACAAGCTGACCTATGACATGTCTATGACAACCATATCCCTGCCTCTGGTAACTCCACTCCTGGTCTAGAGCCTTGAGCCCAAAACAAGGCACCCTAAATAGGGCCATCATTCTATAATTACCACTGGTCCCTGAGACCAATGAACAGCACACTGCAGGAATTGGGTAATCAATGGGACTTGGGGCTGCTAACTAGATGGGCATCTTCAGGCTCAGGTGCGTAACTGGAAAAGCAGTAAAAAACCTTAAAACAAGACCCTAGCTGCAGAACTCCAACTAATCAGGACCATGAACCCATGAGCGAGACGCTAGCTGATCATGGCCAGAGATTTGGTGTCAGCCACCCAGATCCTTTCATCCGAAAACAAAATGCTGGTGCCCAAAATCACAAAGCTGGCAACCATAGCAGCAACACTGTTCAAAACCCAAGAGTAACACAAGCAGGCTAAGCCCAGCCCCACAAACTATACCAAATAAAGCTTTGAGCTTTGCACCCATAGAGCAACGATGATGACTTTGCAGAAAGCAATGCTCTGTTTACATAACATTTAGTGCTAAATACCCCTGGCTCAAGGCAAGATCCCAGACAAGGCTCAGTTACCTACTTCACAGGCAGTGCCCATGTTACGAACAAGATGTATTCTCTAAGTCTGTCTTTAAGTCAAATTTGTAGGTGTAGGAAAAATTATATAGTAATAATTAAAGTAATTTCATACTGTACTGTAGTGTACCTTGGGCTGATGAACCACTGAAGCCATGCAATATTTTAATATGCGTCACAAAGTAGTGTGTGTGTTTGTTATTATGAACCATTGTATTTAACTTAAATTTTAATGTAATTGGCTTTATGGCAGTCGATTCGTAAGTATGAATTGACCATGAAGTCTGACATTCTTAACACCTTCAGGACCGGTGTGACAATTGTATTTTTTTTGGAGATAGGAAATTGCATGTGTTGTGATATATATACATACACTCAGCATGTTTTAGTCTTTATATTCTTGCTGAGTTCTTTGCCACATGGTGGTGATGAAGATGGATGAAGAGAAGTTTTTGAATGGTCAATGATGTTGTGTGTTGTGATAAATTCATTATCCATTCTTGGGGTATTATGATGGGTGGGGGAGGAGCACTTGATTGACAGGTGTCTCCTGTGTGTAGATGGAAGTGGATGACAACATTGTAGAAGAGATCCGTCTCCGACCTGTAGTAGCATTTGCCAAGACGAAGATACCCATCACTGAGGGTATAGTGGAGGTGAGGTACCGGGATGGCTGGGGTCAGATCTGTGACCTGGGCTGGACTCCCAAGAACACACACGTCATCTGTGGCATGATGGGATTTCCCTATGAGAAGAAAGTCAACAAGAACTTCTATAGGTAAGCTGCAAATAGAGATCCTGTGAAATTGCATGTGTCTCTTTATCTGGAAGAATGTATATTTTAATTCACCTCTATGTATTTTTAATATTATATCTCATATCTGCACAAGGCAGGGAACAGCCCTGGATGGGGGGCCAGCCCATCCCAGGGCACACTGACACACCATTCACTCACATATGCACAATTTAGCAATGCCAATTAGCCTCAGCATGTCTTTAGACTGTGGGGGGAAAGCAGAGTGCCTAGAGGAAACCCCATGATGACATGGGGAGAACATGCAAACTCCACACACATGTGACCCAAGCAGAGACGTAAACCCAGGTCCCAGAGGTGTGAGGCAACAGTGCTAACCACTGCGCCACCATGCCACCCCCATATATGTATATCTCAAGACTATTGTCAAGTATTATAATATAGCTCTTACTTTTTTATTGGTCTATTGAGCAAGAGACCCGTAGTATCCCATATGGCATCTCATTGTTATACGAGCTGACCTCCAGGTGCAGGAAGTCATTGGCTCAGATGTGCAACTTAGATACTTTTGGATGATTTTTATGATGATTTTAACTTATTTGATTGCCTTTTAAGGATACATCTTATATTAGAGATCATTGAGAGCTTCTTTGTTTCTACCTTGCTTATTTGAAACTAGTGGAACCTGGTTTTGAAATATGCACTTTTGTGGGTGGAGTTGGCTCTTGTGAAGCATGTTACACAGTTATAGTGTTTGGTTCTAACATTCTGACATGGCTTAACTTTGGCAATATGGCCTGGGACATGCAAACCATTTTAACGTATTTATCTTCCAAAGTGAATAATGATCCTTGAAAAATGCTTTATATTCTGCCCATCCATCCATGCATCCATCCATCCATGCATCCATCTCATCTATTTAGCACTTGGTGGCATGGCAATATTATGTGGACTAACAAAATAGGCCTTCATAAAAGTAACCTTATGAAAATATGTGCAAGAGCTTCATGCAGTTAATGGAGACAATAAATGTTCAATGAAGAGAAATTGGGGTTTATTCACTGTCAGCAAGGTCTTTTCTTCTATGTTCTTTATTATTATGAACACATAATATCTCACATTCTAAAAATGTAGACTTGAAACAGGAAGGTCTGAATCTTTATTATGTGCTTAAATTACATGGTTAAATTCATTCATTCTTCAACTGTTTATTGTGTAGTATAGGCTCATAGGCACAAGGAAGACAGCACCTTGAACAGGATAGGCACAAGGAAGACAGCACCTTGGACAGGATAGGCACACAGAAGATGGCACCTTCGACAGGATAGGCATGTGAAAGACGGCACCTTGGACAGGATAGGCAGATGGAAGACAGCACCTTGGACAGGATAGGTAGAGACACCAACCACGTTTTTGGATTGCAGGTGGAAATGGAGTAAACCCATGCCAATTCCACACAAGATTCGATATGCTTTATTTGTCACATACACAGTTATGTCTATACAAGTACAACAGGTAGTGAAATGTACCATCTTCCGGTCCTGAGACCATGCAATAAAGTTTAACAAAGGAATTTAAAATTTATAGAAAAATGAACATTATAAATATAGACAATATCTGTACAGTGTGCAATATAATATAATACATATACATATGTATTTGTATTTTAAAGTGCATTGTGCTAGTTGTTCTTGGTGTAAATAGACCTAAGACATAGATGTCATAACAGCAGGTGAGGACGTTTCCTAGATTCCCTCAAATTAAAGCTGAAAGTCTGCAGTTAAAGCACATCTTGTTCGTTTCATTTCAAATCCATTGTGGTGGTGTATAGAGCCAAAAAGATAAGAATTGTGTCGATGTCCCAATATTTATGGACCTCACTGTATGTTCTTACGACCAAATCCGATTTTTTTTACTTCATTTATCATTATCTTCTGAATTTGCAAATGTTTTCAAGGAGTCATTTGTATTGTGATTCAGCGGCAGGCTATTTGCATAACCAATCGACAAAGAAAGCATTTGAAGTCCCACCCAAAAGTACCGAAGTACCAAAGAAGTACCCCAGCTGGTTTGCCACTTTCGGTACTGGAAATTTTGGTACTGGTACTTGACCAGAAGTCAATGCAAAAGCGAAAGCACCGAAAATACTGTACCAAAAGTACTGTACTTGGTGGGTGGGAAAGTGCCCTAAGTTCATTGGCAAATCTGAGCATGACTGGAATATGTCCCAGTCTATGCCATCGAGCGCGTCCTGTAGTGTGGCTTCTGATTGAGCAGACCAGCACTTGATCTCCCTAGTGACAGAAGCCTTCTGACAAAACCTTTGTTTGTATTCCGAGATGAGGAAAAAAGCATTGTGGTCTGATGGCCCAAACGCCTTTGTAGCCTTTGAAACAGCTTTGTCGCCCTGCTTGTACGGTGTGTAACAGTGATCCAGTGTGTTAGCTCCCCTGGTTGAACACGTGATGTGTTGGTAAATGGTAGGCATGAGGTTAGGCATAGGTTCATTTTATTAAAGCCCCCTGCTTCCGGGTGTTTGTTTTGAGTCACGCTACGCATGTTGTGTAATTCAGACAATGCTGTACCTGTGTCCACATGAGGTGGGGGATATAGGCTGCCATGGTGATAAGTACATAAGAACATAAGACTGGTACATAAGAAAGTAAGCTGAACTTGCGAAGCAGGTAGAATGGGGGTAGAAAAGCTCAAAATCTAATTGTGAAACTTGATTTCCAATGTCCCAAAGTGCCGTTCTGTCATAAGCCACTAAACATTTTGTATAAGCAAAAATGATGATAAAAAGTAAATAAAGTACTAAGTAAAATCACAGCCTACACAGAGTGATCAGGAAGGTGACAGAACGTAGCCGAGCCATATTGCAGAGTCTGAACGATTAAATCATACAGATACCAGTTTGTTATTTCATAGACTGAATGGCATATCCTCTATGAGAGTCAAATTTACAGTTTATTGCAAGAGTTTTCACACCTTGCAGATATTTTGAAATGTTGATGGATTTGTGGTCATACAGACACATCATTGTCCAAAGGTCGAAAGGGTCCTTTATAGAAATTCAATTGCTATGATTTTTACCAATTAGTAAGTAAGGCTTTGAGTTAATGTCAGCTATTGCAATGACAAAGAGAAGGGTTCAACATCAAAAAAAAATCTCAATTTTCGTACTCTTCAGAATATCCCCCATTGCTTCAATGACAGAATTGCAGACTCTTGGCATTCTTTAAACCAGCTTCCAGATGTGATTCTCCAAGAGTCCTGAAGGAGATTCTACAAGTTCTGGCACAAGTTGGCTACCTTGCTCTTTCTCTTTCCAGTGAGCCTGTTCCCTGGAACCCATTGTATACTTCATGGTACGGTGGTCTACAGAATTTGTATTTTTTATTAAAATCTGCATCATCCATCTGTCTTCAATAGCCAAACAGACAGACAACTATCCATGTATATATATTTTCTTCATTTAATCAATAATCTAAAATAGGTTAAAATGATGTTACTTCACAAATCTGAGACAATAAAAATATATTTATATTAAGACAAAAGGAGGGACCCAGCCTTCATGGAAAACTAAAAGGGTTTATTAGAACAACAAAACACTACAAAATAGAAACCTAAGGACCACAAGGGGGGCAAAACAGGAAGCTGGGTTAACAATAAGGAAAGTCATGGACTAATTGAATGCTGTGTTGAGGTTCAGGGAAATAAGGCAGAGGACACACTAACTACCAACATGGGGAGCAGAGCGGAGCAGAACAACACCAACACTAAACACTACAAGGACTAACATAGACAATGACTGGATTAAGGAACATCACACAGGTGGGTTCTGATATACAGGGGTAATGAGGACCAAATTAGAGAGAGGTGTGAATGACTAGAAGCCACAGGGGAGGAAAGTGTCAGTGTAGCAGTAGTGACTTTTTGGTAAAATTTGACTAGTAATTTCTGTGTGAAATGCCAATCCTGTACTATCACTCAAAAACACCAGCTAGTGGTGTATAAAACCCAAAAAGAAATTGCAAAATCAAAGATCTAAATTGCAACCTAAGCAGGCATATTATTCCAAAGAACACGTTTCTGGGACAACAAAAAAAAGGTTGAAACTGCCATTCCACCCCCTCTTGCGCATATGAACTAATATCCAGTTGTGATCAACCATGTTTATCATGGCAGTTTTTGGCTTCCAATGGTTTTTACAACACTGTGGCAGAATGATTATACAATAATCACAGATTTGATGCACAGGTTTTAAATAGTTGGTTTTCTGAAATCAACAAAGGGTCGAAATTATATGTACTGGGTCAAAAAATACATACAACACATCTAATATTTGGTTAAATGTCCCTCATCACTTTTCACCTCAATCAGACATTTGGTAGGCAACAACAAGCTTCTGGCAGAATTCTAGTTGGATATTTGTCCACTCTTTTTGGCAGACTTGATAGAGTTCAAGCAAATCTGTTGGGTGCCTGGCATGAACCCGACCTATAAACACAGTCCACATATTGTGAGTGAGGTTGAGGTCAGGACTTTGTGGGAGGCTTTTCAAAATGCTTAATGTTAGTCATTCCAAAACCAGCTTTGATTTATGTTTATGGTCATTGTCCTGTTGGAACACCAAATTATGTCCAAGTTTCAGCTTTCTAGCTGATGATTTGGGGTTGTGTTGAGGAATTCTGAGGTAAACCTCCTTCATTGTTCCATCCAATTTGTGCAGCGCTCCAGTTCCACTGGCAGGAAAACATTCTCAGAGCATGATGTTACCCCACCATGCTTAGCAGTTGGTACAGTGTTCTTGGGGCTGAATCCCTGACCTTTTCCCCTCCAAACATACTTCTGGTCATTGTGGCCAAACAACTCAATTTTTGTTTCATCTAACCATAAGACTTTCCTCCATGTGATCAGTCACAAACTTTACCTGAGCTTGAAGGTGTTTATTCTGGAACAGGGGCTTTTTTTCTCAGATGGCAGCCTCTCAGGCCATGACAATGTAAAACTCGCCTGACTGTATGGAGTGACATTGGTGCTCCAGCAGCTTATTTTGCATGACAGACCTGTCTTGACCATCCAGATTACTTTCCACTCACCTGAGGTTGATAGTTTGGGTTTTGACAAAGTGACTACAGCTCCATATGACTTGTACGTACAACAAATTGTCTAAACTGATGATCTTGGGATCAGAAGTTGTTTAGACATGATTCCAAGAGACATTCCTGACTTGTGTAAGTCTACAGTCCTCTTTTTCAGATCAGTTCTGAGTTCCTTGGACTTCCCCATTGCAACATGTGTTGTTCAATCCAATGAGTGATGTTAAATGAGCTGTTTTTATGTTGGTACAGATAAACTACCAGCTGTAGTCAATCATGATCACTAACAGGCAGTTAAAAGACCTTGGCACAAAGTTAAAAGACTGTCAGCACTACTAAATTAATTATCTAAGTAGGTATATGTACATTTTTGACCCTGTATCTATAATTTCTGGTTTCAGAAAGTTAATTGAAAATAAAATTTGTGATTTCTTTATGAAATCATCGGAAGCCCTGAACTGCCATGGTGTGTTTGTGATAAGTGCATATAATTTTTTTTTTAATCACAATCATCCTTTATTTTGCAATCATTATTGTCTCCTTTTGTCTTTCAGTTGTGAGAGAGTCATGCACAAAATCATTTAATCATTTTTATAGTAATGATTTAAGGTATATTAACTTGTTTGTTCTGCAAAGTTCCAGTCCAGTCTGACTGAGAACAATATTTCTTAATTAAAAATTTTAATCTATTGTGTTATAATATGTTGTAAAGTGTCACAGAGGTAGAGAGCTGTTTAACCATTACTGTGTGATTGTAACCCTTTATCTTGATTAGGCATGATGGGATGCATTGAGATCCATGCTGCTGTATGTAGTACTCTGTTCTGATGGGAGTATTACTGAGTACTGATTTTTTTTAAAAAACATGCAGATAATAGTAACTCTTTGTTAAGCATACTTCTATCTGCCTCTACATTCCAGACTCTTCACAGAGAAGCAGCAAAACTACTACCACCTCCACTCAGTGGCCTGCACTGGCACCGAAGTGCACCTCTCCAGTTGCAGTGTGAAGTTCAACAGAGGGAACAGCAGCACTAGCTGTGCAGGGGGCATGCCGGCTGTGGTCAGCTGTGTCTCTGGCCCACAGTTTGCCCAGGCCTCTGGTCAAAAGAAGAAACTTAAAGTATCGGTAAAGTGAAAGGCAGATAAGTGGTAGATAAGATCGGCAGAGTGAATAGAAGGGTGTCAACATTACAGGTAATTTTTTTTTTTTTCCTGATCGTCATATCCGTCCCGTGTCACTTACAGAACACCGTGAGGCTGAAAGCAGGAGCCCGGATCGGAGAAGGCCGAGTAGAGGTGCTGAGGTACAGCAAGTGGGGCAGTGTGTGCGATGAGCGCTGGGGCCCCCAGGAGGCCAGCGTGGTGTGCCGGGAGATGGGCTTCGGCAGCGCCAAAGAGGCCCTAAGAGGGGCCCGCATGGGCCAGGGTGAGGAGCCTGTCATTCCTGCACCAAAGCTCAGTCACGATCATACAGTGTCTTGAGTTCCATTTCTCATTTTTATGATTATTTTTCTATTCAAAATAAAATTATATTTCTACTTCTCAGTCAAGTCGTGCATTTCACTTTTAATCAATTACAATACAAGCTCAAATGCATGAAATTCAGCTGTTGTAACACATACCGCTGTACAAAGGCAGTATGCTGACACTGAAATTCAGAAATAGGGCTAAAGAGTTTTTTGACGGTCCATCCATATGTGTAGTAGGTAGGTAATCATGTGCCTAAGAGACCCAATTTTGGTCATAACTCAATTTTGATAAAATGCACAGTTACTATGTTTTGCCTTCATTTGGAAAACATGTTTATGGTGGTGCAGGAGGTAGTGCTACTGTTTAGCAACTGGAGGGTTGTAGGTTTGTGCCCCAGCTCCTCCTGACCCCACTGAAGTGTCCGTGAGCAAGACACTAAACCCCAAATTGCTCCAAGTGAGCAGGTTGGCACTTTGTGTGGCAGCCACTGCCACTGGTGTGTGAATGTGAGGCAAAAACTGTAAAAGTGCTTGAAAGAGTAGGAAAAATTCACTATATAAATGCAAAACATTTGCATATTTAATAACTTCTAACACTGTTGAATTTCTTTGTTAAAACAGTTTACTTCTGTGCTGCAATGTATAGAGCCCTGTGAGATGTAACTACTGTGCTGTACTGGGTTGTGCCTTTGCCATTGTTGCAGGATTTGGGCCCATCCATATGAATGAGGTCCAGTGCACAGGACAAGAACGGTCCATCTGGAACTGTCAGTACAAAAATGTTACCTCAGAGATCTGCCAGCACACACAGGATGCCTCTGTGAGGTGCAACGTACCTTACATGGCCTATGAAAACACGGTCAGAGAGCCGCATCCGCCGTTTCTCTCCAGTCAGTCCAACTCTTCCTTCTACCCAGTCAGATTTTCATTCTTACACATCTTCTCTGTCAAGGTGTTCAAACAATCAGGACTTTTATTTATAGTTAAAGGTAATTATATTGACATAACAGCCTGATCAAGCATATTTACTGAATATCCCCTAACCCTAACCCTAACCCTAAGAAATGAATGCAAATGCACAATGCAAGTAGAAAAATATATTTTTCTGCACCCAATTATTCATTAAGTTATGCATTCATTTATATACAACCTTAAGATATATAAGTGGAAAATTATATAGGCCTTCTCACAATAAGAACAATGTGAGTGCAATTTGAAAAATTCTTCAACAGTTGCAAAGTGTTTCATTCAGTCATTCATTTAATAGATCACAAACTTTATTCCAGTGCCTTTTGTTTCAGTTAGAAATATTAACTGTAAAATGAAAGCTAAATAACTAACTAGGCAGAGAAAAAATATTTAAAATTTATTCCCAAAAATATATTTTTTTATTATATATATTTTCTATTCCAATAATTTATAGCTTTCCACAGATTCTTATAGTGAATACAACAAACCTTTTATAAAGTTGTTACTATTAGGGCTGCACGATTTGGGGAAAATATCGAATCGCCATTTTTCTGACAGAAATTGCGATTACGATTTGATTTGCGATTTAATTTTTTTACTGTATGTCAAGCTTCAGTTCAATATTCAGTGTGTAGTCATTTTAAAACATATGACACAGGATGAGATACCATCAGTATTAACTGGTCTATATTCTAATGCAAGGATGAGAATTTAAAGATGTGATGTGTCAAGTTAAATAAAGTAATAATGAAAACAACTGCAGCAAAAAGAAAAATAGCGATCTTGCAGGTAACGCTAGAACCGCCTTTCCCCACGCCAATGAACAAGCAAGAACTACTTTGGTGTATGCAGCCCTTTTGTTTGTGCTATTGTGTTGTTAGCTGCTGTTATTAACACTAATAACACTCAAAAAACCATAATGTTCATAGCAGAGTGGCTGTTCTGTCCTGAAACCGCAAAGCTGGAAATTTTTAAACGTACAGTAGTATGCATTTTATAAAATGTTGAATAAATAGAAGTCGTTTATTGGTGATTTCATGTTGGTCAAAGTTTCCGCTTTTTAACAACTGTATACGGTTATTTTCTATACAAATCAATTCAGGTGAAACAAAAAATGTATGTGTTCATGGTTGCAAACTCTTTCAGACTCTCAAGCGAGAAATCTTACAGCAAATCTATATTCCATTCTGAACTTAAAATTAGCTGCATCAAAAACGTTACGGCAGTTTGCAAACTCTACAGACTATTTACAAGGTAATAAAACTTACATACATGTAAATGTGTGTGCAGAACAGAGAACAGAAAATTTCACTCCGTGCAGCTGACCAAAGTTGCCAACCCTGCATTTTATTTTAAATGAGAAGTAAAATGCAGTTTTCGACTGAAGCAGCTTATCATTCCTTTGCTTTGTTACTCGGACAAATACAAAATGAATGATTAAACATTATTCGCGTCTCTTTTTGCATGTTTTCTAAATAAGACCGCGTGCCCATACCCAACTGTAATAGCGATTAAAGCGATCTATTCTTTTAGTATTTATGTTAAAGCAAGACTTTTATTTTATTGTTGTTGTGGGATTAATCTTTGGAAACGCTTAAATTTAATAAGCACAAAAACATATGACATAAACACGACTGTATTGTGGGTTTTATGGCTTTTTTGGAGGTCACGACTCTGAATTACTGACTGTCTCGTTGTTTTGATGGGTTAGCAGTATACTAATGCCAGGGGCGTTGCTAGAGATTTTGGGCCCCATGAAAGCATATCATATTAGGCCCCCCAGTCCAAACCAATCCAGTTATTTTCCTAATTTTGTAGGGCCCCTGTCACTCAGGGGCCCTTGGAATCGTCCTAGCTTTCCTCCCCCTTACGGTGCCCCTGACTAATGCTATTGCCTATTAACAAAAACCAAAGGTATGATACGCTGAAGTACATTGTAGCTGGTGTTTAAAAGGAGCTCGCCGGTTCTATTGATGATAGGACCTTCCTGAAACAATCTCGGACCATGAAATACGAAGGCAATTCACTTATAGCTCAGTAGCAGAATCAGTATTTTTCCGCACCGCGAATGTAACATTTTCCTTGGGTTTCACGTGTTTGCTGTTTGTGGGCCTATACGCCTTCTTGGGCCACTTCTGATTGGTTAGCATGACTTGCACGCGAGAAGCACAGCGCTTGTGATTGGTGAGAATGACTGTCACACAGGGAGCACGGCATGAATTTGTAAAACTATTCTCACAGCAGTTTTAAACCCTGGGTCCGACGTGCTGTATAATGTGTATCCTAAATCGCGTTTTTTGCAACTTGCTAATCGTGTTGTTTCAAATCGCGATTTCGATTTGAAATCGATAAATCGTGCAGCCCTAGTTACTATGTTGCTGATTTTATGTCATGAAAGACACAATTGACCCATTTTCCTAGTTACGGAAAAATTTATAAGATTTTGCTAATGGACATCTGCAAAAAAATTGATTTACACACTATGCAGCTCATGTGGGTTAGCCCTTCTCGGAAGAACATTTACAGAAATATGAGCTGGCTTTATGATTTATTTTAGTGGTTGTTTTCAGGTTAGCCAGGACGTGTTTGTTTCCCTGTGTACCTCGATATCTCCTGCTGTAACTTTGTGTGTTTGCACTTGCAGATCCGCATCACAGGGGGGCGCACACGGTACGAGGGCCGTGTGGAGGTGGCAACCACAGACAAGAATGGAACTCAGGGCTGGGGGTTGATCTGTGGAGATAGCTGGGGTACACTGGAGGCCATGGTGGTGTGCCGGCAGCTGGGACTCGGTTATGCTAATCACGGCCTGCAAGTAGGTCGCCCCCCGCCTTCTCCAGACTGCTTCACCTTCTCATAACAGACGTTAAATCCTAGTGCTTTCGAACTAGGATCTGAGGATATGAGACCCACCTCCCGAATTCCATCCCTGTCCTGCATATGTTGAGTCTGCAAGCTCCATTTAGCGTGCAGGTATTTTATGTGAATTGGTGTTGCTGGATTGCCCTTGAAAAGCAAGATAGTTAAAAACCGGTTGTAAAAATTTTAAGGTCATAAAATGTTTAAATTTGTGCAAATAGCGATTAAATTCTGAGATATTACGTAAAGACTGAGTAATCATACCTATATAATAAATTATTTGAATCATTTATTCAGTTTTTGCAGATTCTCGTTCCTTCATTATTGTGCATATTTTGCTCTGGTTCTCTAGCTTCCCCAGGTCGTTGCTAAAAATGTGAGAAACAGCAAACATGTAAAAATACAAATGAAATGAAAAAAGGGCATGTCATATGACATAATTTTAATTTACAACTTATATGTTTTTGAAGCAGGTAATTCTGTGCAAAAGTGGGTCTAGGCTGTTTTGGAAGAAGGGGCCAAACTTATTGCTTGGTATCCGCACGCACAGTGGTATTATTTTTTATCTATCAAGGCTGTGTAAAAAAGTTGTTAACAAGTATTGAATTAGATTTTAATAATGGTGCAGGAACCACGTAATGGACTGGAGTTTGGTGCTGGGTGTACCACCGCTTTGTGCTACTGGAGTTTGGTGCTTGGTGTACCACCGCCTTGTGCTACTGGAGTTTGGTGCTGGGTACCACCGCCTTGTGCTATATGTTGCCTGGGATAGGCTACTGGCCCCCGTGACCCTGTATTTACTACAGTTTCTCCTATAATTTCAAGCAGTTCCTTTATAATTTCTGCACATCTGGATTGTGGGTGGACAGACCAGTTATGAAGGTGAAGTTGATGTTAAAGTGAGGAGCTAATTGAATATACAGGTAGCCATTAGATAACAGGTCTAGAATAAGACTTACTGAAAGTATTTGAGTTTGGACAACTTGTGTCAGGTGATGAGCACACATGAAAAATACCAATCTTGTATTTATGCAGATTTATTACCGAAAAACTTCACTACACAATGAAAATGGAATGTTAAATGTCATATTCGCTAAATTGAATGAATTATTATACATTGCATTCAGTTAATAACAAAAACACCATTATCACAGAATACTTTAAACTCATGAATGTGCTGACGGTGTTTGAGAGCAGACCTCGGACACACTGGAAATGTCTTCCAGCTACCTCGGGAATGATTGGCGATCTCCTAGAGCAAGCTGCTGTCTGTGGCCATGCTCTGTCCTGCTTGCCAGGCTGCCTGCATTGCCCTCACCAGGAAAATGACTGGAAGATGAAGGTTGCTTGATTATATTAGGCAGTTTCCATTGTGAACTTTAATGTGCTTTCACAATAGCAACAACTGACCGAGGCATAAACGAAACACCTATTTTTTAATTTGTATTATGTATTTACATTCACCATTATACCCTTGAAAAGGCAAAATGTGAAAACCACAAATACAGAGAGTCCTTACGGGCTAGGAACCTTCTTTACACCCTAATATCAGAAGCATTTCAGTTCACAGTGCCAATTCTGCTGGCTAACCCTCGAGTTTGTTGTTGTTGCCAAGGAAACATGGTACTGGGACAGCAGCAATGTGACGGAGATGGTCTGGAGCGGTGTGAGGTGCACTGGGGAGGAGATGAGCCTCAGCCACTGCCGGCACCAGAAAAACGGGAGCTGCCGTAGGGCGGGGGCACGCTTCTCGGCAGGTGTCATCTGCTCTGAGAGTGAGTGACACGGGGACAGGGATTCCCTTTCTGTCTGTGCCTTTCCCTGAAGACCTTATTAGGAGAATTGTCGTTATTTTAATAAGATTTTGTTCAAGTTTGTTCTGATGGACATTTATGTCTTTGTTATGTTTAAATTTGTAAAAATACTTTTTTGTTCCAGTTGGTAAAACTGTTATAACCCCCATTTTTCTTGAACAAAGACACAATTTGCTAACATCTGGTGAAACATTGTACATGTGCTTAGCGTAGTGTGACACTGGTGTTCCCCTTGATGTGGCAGCTGCCCCGGACCTGATCATGAATGCCACACTAGTCCAAAATACAGTTTACATTGAGGACCGGCCCCTGCACATGCTGTACTGTGCCGCTGAGGAGAACTGCCTCTCCAAGTCAGCCGCCAACGCCAGCTGGCCCTATGGCCACCGCCGACTGCTGCGTTTTTCATCCCAGATTAACAACGTCGGCCGTGCTGACTTTCGCCCCAAGGCCGGCCGCCATTCCTGGGTGTGGCATGCCTGCCATGCGTAAATATTCATTTTAATTATTTTTCATTAATCCAATGCAGGGTCACAGGAGGGACTAGAGCATATCTCAGGCCACAGAGGGCACAGTCTATAGGAAGACAAAGGCAATTTAGAGAGCTAAGCTAACTGTGCATCTTAATAGTCTGGGATGAGTGCAGGATACTCAGGGGAAAGCCATGTAACACAAGGGAGAACATTTTAACTTCGTATATATACAGAATGCACATGCAAACTACACATTATGACAAAGTGGACATGCAAACTCCACATAGACACAGAGTGGATAAGCAAACTGCACATACGCAAAGTAGGTATGCAAACATCACAACTGCACAGAATAGATATGCAAAATCTGCATATGCACAGAGTGTACATGCAAACTCCATATATACACAGAGTGGACATGCAAACTCCTTAAATACACAGAGTGTACATGCAAACTCCATATATACACAGAGTGGACATGCAAACTCCTTAAATACACATAGAGTGGATATAAGAAATGTATAAACCCCTGTTAAAATGCCAAGTTTTTGTGATGTAAGTGAAGTAGATGACTATAAATAATTTCAAAACTTTTCCCACCTTTAATGTGATATATAACCTGTACAATTCAATTGAAAAACAAACAAATCTGTCGGGGGAAATCTATATATTTTTTTAATAAGCTGGTTGCATAAGTGTGCATACCCTTCAGCTAATACTTTGTTGAAGCAACTACAGAATTTAGTCTTTTTGGGTACACATCTGCCGTCAATTAAAGTGCCTCTGGTTAACCACAAATACTTAAAGTTCTGCTGTCATAGTAGGGGTTTCCTCATTTACTCAGTTACATCCTACAGCAAAAGCCATGATTCACAGAGAGCTTACAAAGCATGAAAGGGATCTCATTGTTGAAAGGTATCAGTCAGGAGAAAGGTACAAAAACTGTCCACAGCTTTTGATATACCATGGAAGGGGGCAGCGTGTGGCTCAGTGGGTTAAGCCTGTGTTCCTATAATTAGAAGGTCACCAGTTCAAACCCGGCCTCGGCACATCTGCAGGTCCTTGAGTAAGACCCCCAGCTTCCTGGGCACCCCAACAGGTGGCTCCCCTTCAAAGAGCAAATTGAGGGAGGCATAAAGACAACTTTCCCACAGGGATCAATTAAGTTTCAATTATTATAATTATTATTAATTAAGACAGTCATCAAGAAGTGATGAAGTGTCAATTGAATTGTACAGGTTATAGGTCACGTTAAAGGTGGGATCTAATTCTCTTACATCACAAAAACCTGGCATTTTAAGAGGGCTGTGTACACTTTTTGGCAACACTTTACTTGAAGCAGTCTACAAAAGGGTGACATGTAACCGTCATAAGAATGACATGACACATGTCATGCACATTAATGACACATTATTGATGTTTATGACTGTTGTCATAATGTGTCATTCGCTTTTTGAAACTGAATGACACATTATGACAAGAGTATCTTGTCATCTGTATGATTCATGACCTTCATATGAAAAAACACAAAAATCAAACATAAAGAAAATTACAGTCTAACAAAAAATGTAAAAAAAAAGGAACCCCACACAAAGATGATTTAAAATGTGTTGGACCGTGCAGGCATTATCACAGCATGGATATCTTCACTCACTATGACCTACTCTCTGCAAATGGGACCAAGGTGGCCGAAGGGCACAAGGCCAGCTTCTGTCTCGAAGATAGTGACTGCAATGAAGGTAAGCAGAAATGCATTGTGGTGGACTCTGGGCTCCATGGTATGGACACCATAAACCAAGATATTTTTTAAGTCTGTGGCACTTGCGATGTGCCAGCTAGCTCTTTAGCCATCACTTGGTTATACAGTAGTCCCCCTGTATCTACAGGTAATACATTCCAAGACCTATCACGTATAGCCAAAACCAGAACCATCCACGGAACCCATATATATATATATATGGGGTTGTCAATATTAACGGGACGCGGATTAATCCATCATCATGATTAATCTGATTAAAAATTTTAACGCAATTAACCCATCTGCAGCGCAGAATGACTCAAAATCCCTGAAATATCGCTGTCAATCCATTTTGGTGCGCTCCATTTACCCTCGGCAAATGACTATTTATAGTCATACTCCAAGTCAGATTCTGGAGTTTTAAAGCCAGAAGTGACGACATGCGCGCTCCCGTTTCTCAGAGATCCGAGAAATATCTCGGAGCAGCACAGAGGATCCCGAGTTCAGAATCCAAGATGGCTGCTCCCTTTATCAACATAAGGGAAAGTTGTAGTTTTATACTTGTTAAGCACTACTTCTCATTTGTGGCTCATTAAATCGGTCGCACACACTATACCGTCTGTGTTGCTACGGAGTTTTATACATAAAGCACAGCGCATAATGTGTTATCAACTGATATTGCTAACAATGGCAATTAACCGGGCTAGAATTGGATTTCATGATTAGTCGGATTATTTGTCGGATTTACGGTAGTTTGGGATAATTGTAAGTGAACGAAGATAAAGACCATTTAAACTGAGGTACCTTAAATCCGAGAAGTTGTCTGGCTAAGCAAAAAATCTTGCTTTTTGATATGGGTCCATGGTATTGCACTTCTGTGGCAGATGGAATGCATCTGACTCGTGTTCAAGATGTTCGGTAAACATGTTAAGTGCATATATATCCCCTTTTTTCTTGAGTCTGTTTGCTCATGGGAAATGAAATGTGATTAATATAGATTAAAAACTAAGGATATTTAATCGTGAGTGCAAAGTACTTCATACATTATTATACAGTACTGTACAGTACTATATATACTCTCTCAAATGAAAAGTATTCTGACGTTTTAGCCTAATTCTCAATATTCAATAGAACAGGGGTGCCCAACTCCAGTCCTGGAGGGCTGGAGCCCTGCATATTTTTGGGTTTCCCCTTAGTTAACACACCTGATTCAACTTCTTGTGCTAATTACCACACAGCTCTTGAGCTGAATAATTTATGGTGGAACAGGGAAAGAACTAAGCTACACAGGGCTCTGGCCCTCCAGGACTAGAGTTGGAGACCCATGCAATAGAGCATTGAAAAAATATCATGTACAAAAGGATAACGGAGCAATGAAAATCATGCTTTTTATAACCTTCAATGGATGAAAGGACAGTGAAAAAACATCTTGTTACACGTTTTACAGTTTGTTTCGGACCACGGATAACTGAAACTGTGATTACTGAAAGCGCAAATTTGGGGGGAACTATTGAATTAGACACTTTAAAAATTCTGAAGAACATTTTAGTGCTGCCACCTCAAATATAAATGGTATAGCTGGTGTATCTGTTTCTGGGTGTCTTCGTTCTACGTTGACTGCAGGGGTTGCGAAGCGGTATGCATGTGCCAACTTTGGTGACCAGGGGATCACAGTGGGCTGCTGGGACTTGTACGCACACGACATAGACTGCCAGTGGGTCGACATCACTGATGTCAAGCCAGGACATTACATCTTTCAGGTGTGTTCTATGTAACAATGTGTGGAGGTACTTAATCAGTCAGACCATTAAAAGGGATCTGCTGTAATATTTTGTTTAGGATTTATGAGGTGGTGCTATGATGGTCATCTGTGAATGAGCTGATACATGCTGCACTGCAGGTATCCCTGTGTAAAATGTTCATTAAATCAGTAAATCTGTTATGTATATGCCTAAGAATATCTGTCTTCAGTTTTAGACCATCATTGGACAGCAACAAGAACAGTAACAATTTTGTACTTGCAGGTTTTAATAAACCCAAACTTTGAAGTGTCGGAAAGTGACTTTACCAATAATGCCATGAAATGTAACTGCAAATATGACGGACATCGAATTTGGTTGCACAACTGCCATCTCGGTAAGTTGTTTTGTATGATGTGGCTATTTGTTTATCAGGGCTTTTTTCGTTGTCATTTAGAATGGATTTTAGCAATGTCTTTGTCTTTAAAAAAATGTTGTTTTTTTTTCTTTGGTATTAATGTATTTAATTCCAGAAGCAGATACTGGCACAAGCTTATTCTCTGTCATAATGGTACCATTGGTTTCTTTTTATGTATACTGTTTGTGTGTGTCCCTGGATCTTGTTTTTCTGGTACAGAAGCTGGTGTGATGATACAATGTCCAGCACTAAAATGCAGAAGCTGTCCTTTTGTTACTCTTTCCTTTCACTCTACTTTTTTTTAGGTTGTTGTGTGCTATTTTTATCTCCCTGTTTTTCTCTCTCTATCTGATCCACCCCCCTTTTTTTCTCTATTACCCTCTCTTCTTTCTCTCCCTCCTCTCTTCTTCTCTTTATCTCTCTTATTTCAGTTAACTTTCCCTGTCGGCTCAGGCTTAAAAGCGCAATAATCTAAAACGGTGAATAAAGAGTATATTTCAAGTAACAAGAGGAGCTTACCCCGAAGCTCCACTTGGCAAAATAAAAGTGTTGGCACAATAAAGCACCCAGACTAACATCCTGCTTGCTAAACTGCCGGACACGACAGGGGTAAGAAAAAAAAGGAGAGGAAAGAAAAGGAAAGGGAAAAAAGAAAAAAAAAATGTTGCTTTTTATTTTCTGTGATATCGTGATATGCAAGGACACACAAGAGACCTGGGTGTACAATCATGCACCCGTAGTTTTGGGGCTTATATAAGCACTCAGGGGAATGGGCAGAGGAGAGAGGTGACAATGGAGCTGGGGTTATACTGATTCAGGGGGGTGCGGCATGCTTCCATCATGCCAGCATGTGACAGGGAAGGTGGCGAAAGAGAAAGAATAAGCAGCTTGCTTATCCCAGGCGTCCTGAGGCCCTCAGCTGGGACAATCAGCAGCGGCACCGTGTTAGCATTGCGGTGGTTGCTTTGTGTCATCCAGCTGGCGTGGGGAGTCACATCATACAGGGTTCAGTTTAGGATTCCCTCTTGATGTGGCACATCACATAGGGCTCAGTCTAGGATTCCTTCTTATCGTGTCACATCACATAAGGCTCATTTTGGGATTTCCTATTGTTGTGGCACATCACACCGGTTTCATTTTGGGATTCCCTCTTGTTGTGGCACATGACATAGGGCTCATTTTGGGATTCCCTCTTATTGTGGTACATCACATAGGGTTCAGTTTAGGATTCCTTCTTATGAGCTTCCCAACTTCTCCCTACTCCTCAGGTGATGCGTTCAGTGAAGAGGCAGAAAGAAGCTTTGAGAATTACCCTGGACAGCTCAGTAATCGGGTTTCCTAAGCAATACTAGGTTCAGGAGGAACATTCTTAAGGAATATAACCAACCTTTTTCTTGAGTGGACTCCCTTCTAACCTTTGAATTTGAATGTCATTCCTGTCAGCAACCCATAAAGTACAACGAATCAAAATTCATACACAATTTTGGGGTGTGGTGCTATGATTGTATCCCAGCTGAAATTTCCAGTAGTCTAAATGGGAGTATCAGTGAAAGTGTCAGGTATGTTAACAGTATTATGCTGGAATATGTAGTAATTTTTCATAAACCAACCAAGTATTCTGATTGTATTATGCTTTCCAACACAAATCATTCTGTTTTGGGTCGTATATAAATGTTTTGTACTACTGTATTACACATACAAAGAAATATAAGAAATGTTTGTGAGTTTTTGGTTATAATATATGTACAGGCAGTCCCTGGGTTAAAAACATTTGGCTTACGGACCACTCGTACTTGTGAAATGACTGCCATAAAGCATATTATAAGTTTGAATACGATGGGTCGTAATAACGAAGACACACACAACATTGTGACACTCATGAAACATTGAGTGGCTTCAGCGGTTTGTCAGCTCAAGGTACAGTACCGTATGTACTTTTATTATTACTGTATAGTTAATAGTATTATGTACTGTATTATTATTATTGTTCCTACTTACCTACAAATTCAACTTAAAGACAGACTTAGGGAAAGGATCTTGTTCATCACCGGAGGACTGCCTGTACAGTGAATTGTTGGTCCAGTTAATCACGAAATACATTCCAAAGTTAGGGATGAAAATGTAGCTCAAGGAAATAAACCAGTTCAAATGGGACATTCCCTCCTTTCTCATTTTCCGTTTTTTGTTAATTATAACAATGCCTGTTCTCAACTGGAATTTAAAGTTTCTTTTTTATTTATAAAACCCAATGAAATGCCTGAATTCATTTTTTATAATATTATCACCTTCAAATCCTGTCCCAGCCAGTCTATTAATCATCTGTAAATGTGCGTGTTAAATGTAGTTTCCCACTGACAAGAACAGCCCAGACAAGCAGTACGCTCCTTGTATAAATTCTTATAGTCTAATTGCATTGGAATGTCAGTACATTTATGATTCAAAATTACAGCACAGCTGTTTCATCTAAATCTGAGTGAGATTTAGCCACAACAGTTTACAATGTCCTGTGTTTTAGTTAGTAACTTTTTTACTTAAAACACAACATGCCAAAACCAGGGGGCTCATTTGTAAAGACTAAATAGAAGCTAACATTTTTACACACATTTATATGAAGATTTTGGGATTTATAAAGAAAAGCTTAACCTGAAAAAAATTACATTTACAAATGTTCCAGAGCAGTTGAACAAATGTTTTGTGGGGAACAGAAATAAAGCAACATCTAAACAAACATGACTGTGAGGGAACACAAAGAAGAGGCCTGACAACCAGGAAGGGCACAAGTAAGAGGAAGGTTATGTCAATGATCGGACTCGGGAACACAGAACTGGGAGGCACATGTATACATGACTAACGGGAGCAATTTCCACATGAAAGGTGGGACATGAAGGATAAACAAGTAGCAGGTGCAGCTTTTTAGGCTATGACAGGGAGGATATGGGCAAGGGTATGGACAGCAACAGAGTTGGGAAACGACACACCCCAGGGTCAGCACTAGGGCAGACATACAAGGCCAGAGGACACAAGACAGATGGGATCATGGATGGGACAAGACACATGGCACGACTAGGGGTATGGAGCAGACAAAGGCAGAGCCAAGGACCAAAGAGATAGTAGCAGGAACGCACACCAGAAGGCCTTTGATGTTGTCCCCCACAAACGGCTCTTGCTAAAGCTCAAAGCTGCAGGGATTTTAGGAACTGTGGCAGCTTGGATCGAAAACTGGTTAACTGACAGGAAGCAGCGAGTAGTTATTAGAGGCACAATGTCACAGTGGGCCTGCGTTCATAGTGGGGTACCGCAGGGTTCAATTTTAGGACCACTATTTTTCCTAATTTACATTAATGATATTGACACCAATACATAAAGTAAACTGGTTAAATTTGCAGACGACACCAAGGTGGGTGGTGTAGCAGATACTGATCTAGCAGCAGAGAGGCTACAACGGGATCTGGATTTAATTAGCGACTGGGCTGATACTTGGCAGATGAAATTTAATACAGATAAATGTAAGGTAATCCATGCAGGGAGCAGAAATATGAAGTACAGATATTTTATGGGTTCCACTGAAATCAAGGTAGCTGATTACGAGAAAGACCTTGGTGTGTATGTTGATGCTTCCATGTCCCACTCTCGCCAGTTTGGGGAAGCAATAAAAAAGGCCAATAGAATGTTGGGTTATATCTCTAGGTGTGTGGAGTTTAAGTCAAGGGAGGTGATGTTACATTTATATAATTCCTTGGTAAGACCCCACCTAGAATCTTGTGTGCAGGTTTGGTCACCATACCTTAAGAAGGACATTGCTGCCAGAAAAGGTGCAACGGAGGGCTACGAGAATGATTCCTGGTCTTAGTGGAATGTCTTATGAGGAGAGGTTAGCTGAGCTGAATCTGTTTAGCCTTGAGCAAAGGAGACTAAGGGGGGACATGATCCAGGTATATAAGATTCTAACGGGTCTGGATGCTGTTCAGCCAAATGGCTATTTCAATATTAGTTTAAATACTAGAACTCGTGGCCATAAGTGGAAATTAGTGGGAGAACATTTTAAAACAAATTTGAGGAAGCACTTCTTTACACAGCGTGTAGTTAGAGTATGGAATAGTCTTCCTGCTAGTCTAGTGGAAGCTAAAACCCTGGGTTCCTTTAAATCAGAGCTAGACAAGATTTTTACAACTCTGAGCTATTAGTTAAGTTCTCCCCAAACGAGCTTGATGGGCCGAATGGCCCCCTCTCATTTGTAAAATTCTTATGTTCTTATGTTCTCTCACACACACACTCCAGAACAACAAGGACATGTGGAGGGACAACAAAGACAGGGATGGAAACATATGGGTTGGCTACAGAGGACACAGGCTAGGGCAGGCTCAGGTATCAGGACTGGGACCCAGGCATGACCTGAGGGAATCAGGAATGCCCAGGGAGTCTCCGGGATCCTGGAGAGCTGGGTGGCAATGAGGAACATCAGTCCTCATGGGGCCGCTCCATGGAGACCACCAGGTTGGCGGAGGAGTGTGCCACAGGGCCCCTCCACATGGCTTCTGCGGGAGAGCAACCTGGACAGTCAACTTTGAATGAGCACGTGTCCAGACAGTCAGCATGGATGGTGCGCAGGAGACTTGGCTGGCCCCTCACTTGGGCCCCAGCCAATACCTGTGGCCAACCCAGGACCTTGGACCAGATTGACCCAAGCCTTGGGTTGAGGCAGGGGCTCATAGAGCAGGACTCAGGGCAAGGCCCAAAGAGTCCTTCTTCAAGTCTTCCTAAAGGGCATCTTCCAGATCAGTCCCATCGGGAGGTGAGCAGGGCAGGAGCCACCAGGACTCCCATCAACTCAGGAAACCTCAGAATACTCAAGTCTTTAAGCAGGTCTCTGTATCTGCTCTCGAAGGTGAAAAGCCAGGAGCTGGCAAATAGGGTAAGAGATGGACAGTACAGGATTGACAGCAGTCTGGTCATTCTGTCATGAATTGAGGAACAAAGGACTCAAGGGCAGTGTTGTGGAAAAATAAAAGGGAGTTGAATGAACTAGATGAACAAAGACTAAATAAACAGGACTATGAGGGAACAAAAACAAGCGTATTAGCAACCAGGAAGCACAAATACACCAGTAAGGTTCAATGTCAATGACTCAGGAACACAAGCCTGGGAGGCACGAATATAGTGGACTAATGAGGGTACTAACGAGAGACAGCTGGGAGTGATAGCCACCAAAGAGGCAAGACAAGAGGGGTAAACAAGTAGCAGGTGTGGCTTGTTTGGCCATGACAGGCAGGAAACAGGCAGGGATAGAAATTTGTTTGTTGAGCTGACCAAATTAACAGTGGCAGCCCCATGCTGCCATCTCACTTTATTTTTTGTTTTGTATTCCTCTATTTTGACGCTATAAAGTCTGCACTTTTCTTTCCCTCTCGTTTGTGGCTCCATTGTCTCTGAAATGGTGTTACAAACATGAACTACAGTGGATATACTGTATATATGGTGGAGATGTACAGACTGCAGCTGGGCTGGTGGATTGAACCATGTTAACGCCTGTACTCACTCAGTGCACAGTATGAAACTTATGATCTGCTTATTTTTGGAATTTTCGAATTTGTAAAGGATACAGTGTGCATTTTACAGTTTTGGTAAATTGTGTAGTATTCTGAGAAGTGTATTTAAGCAATTAGGAAAAATTGTAATTTAATTTTTATTTATTTTTTAAATGTAACTTTAGGGTTTGCATTATTTAAGATATGTAAAGAAGTATATTAAATTGTAATACTCCTTTGTAGATATTTGTGAAAAATTTAATTGTATGGCATCCTCACAAAACCAAAATATGACTAGGGAAAACAAGTTTGTGCTGAACTGTTGCTGTACAACAATTTAAGATTTATTCATATTTAAGAAATAATGAACACAGACATAAAAATAAAATAATGGCCCATTTGTGCATTGACTTATTTTCTAGTACAAATAATGAATGAAAAAACATGCAAAAAAACTGTCCAAAGTTTGACTTTTTAATACACGCTGCTGTCATATGAAATATTATTTAAAATAAAACTGCAGTAAAAAAAGAAGGTGAACATACATTGTTTTCTCATATTTGGTTAACAGTGACCCCATTATCCCTATAAGTTATCACAGCAATAGTATTCTCCTATAGGGTCAGCCTAAGATGACGTCACCAAAAGAAAGTGGTGTTTTCGCTGCTCCCGACTGGCTGAATGTCCCTGGGTGATCAACCAATCCCTGTCCCTCTCTGCACCCCAGTGCAAGTTGTTGATGCAGAACAATAGGTGTGTCTTGATGGTCCTCCTTTCAATGTCTAAAATGGATTGAGCTGTGCTGGATACCCTCCTTCAGGACAGCTCTGAAAAAAAGACAAAAAAGAGAGAGAGCTGTTACTGCAGTTCTTTCCTCCAGAGAATGAAACTTTGAAACGAAAAGGGGATAATGTGCATCGACATGTACACATGACACTGATGCCTTTAGGGCACAACATTACACTGGGCTCAAACTGAATTCTCCCCCAGTCTCCATAGAGAATTTGTGATTTTACTTCAGTTGTGACATCACCACAAAAGACAAGGGATCCAACAATCCTCTCCACAAAATTGCTAATCAGCCTTTATTGTTAATATGATAACTGTTCATAGAACTGTTACATGCCTTTCAGGGGAAATTCTTCTGAGAAAAAAAACAAGAATTAGTAATTACAGGGGTGTCTTTAACCCCCCCCCCCCAAATAAATATACACTACTTAGCATAATCAGATTCTCTTAGACTTGTTGCTGAAAGCTGTGCCAGCCGACTCAACCATATATAAATCACAACTAATTATACTGCTAATATTATTTATAATAGCTTATTATTAAATTTTAAGATTATTTTTTTTTTACTAATATAATTCTAGAATATTCAGAAATTGAACAATGCTGACTCATCTCTAGTTTAAATGGTGTGTTCCCATGCATTTTCATTACAATAAGACTCCCCTAATAAAGGCTTAGCCCCCACCCTTTCATAAATCTCTAGTAACATTCCTGAATATTTCAATATATATATAAAATAGAGGAAAAACTGCGGATTCAAAGACATGCATGAGTATAGATATACAATCATAACAGTGGTTATAACATTTTGTATGTGCTTATGTCTGCTATTTTTAACACTTATCCACCCAGACGGCACACATATGTTGAAATGCCATTGATTCCATATCAGACAAAAACGTTGAAACAACGTTGATCTTCAATCTTCCACTTTATATCAACATTGAATCAAGGTTTTACCACCATTAATTTTTCAATATTGAAAATCTGACCAAAAATCAATTTAGTTTCAACGTTGATAATTTAACACTGACCATAATTCAACGCATTTAAGTATAATTCAACATTGAAACAATAACATGGTGCTATCTGGGCAGGGCAGGGTTGCAGACTGAGCCTGGAGTCTATGGGGTACAGGACATGGGAATGCCATGGTCAGGATATCTTCTCCTCCTACTGAACCTGATATGCAACTGTGTGCAGCAGTAACAGCTGAGGAAGACCCAGCACTGAGCCATAGAGATCTGAGCTGTGACGTCACTCACATGGGGAGGCATCAGCGCCCAGCCTCCAATCGCATGTTACTGACAGCTTTAGAAGGTACGACCTGGAGGCAGATGGGGGAGATTCTCGGGGGCGGGGGTCGCTGAGGTGGACGTCTCGGCTGGGACCCCCCAGACTGTCAGGGGTAAGCGGAAGGAAAATATCAGACAAAGAGCAGAGCCCAGGTGGTTACTAGCAGAGTGAATGAATGTGAAATTCATATGAAACATCAAGCATTCTAGGGGTATCAAGAAACAAAAAAAGTTTTTATACATCCAAACCAATGCATTTTTTCTTAGTTCTGAATATTTAAGGTAATTTTCCACCTATCAAAATGCACAAAATATGTCAGTTCACTCATTGAGCAGAGGAGCTGGTCATGTTGCTTTACAAGTTTCTTAAAATGTGGTATCATTTCTAAGAATGCAGTATGCAAAATGGCACACAAGTGGTCATAATTTAACCGAGATCTGTATTTGCATTTATTAAAGTTCATGACTGAAAATGTTTGCTCGCACTCAGAAGTGGAGGCAAACAGCACCAAACTACTTTGAGCAAGCAGTCTTATCAATAAAAATTTTATATCACTTAGTGAGGCATAGAACTGGCTGAGTGGCACTTAGAGATTAGAGTCACACTGGAGATCGATTAGCTTGTGCTGAACGTTTGGTGGTGCCTTTTCATGATCATACAAGAAAGGGTGTGACACAAGCTCCAGTGATTCCTCGATCTTGGTGAAATCTGCAAAATGCCGGGTGAACTCGGCATGCGGGTCCATGAGTATTCCACTGTATATCACAGAGGTTGGCAACCATTTTAAAGCAAAAAGCCATTTTCTCCTAAATGTCTGACCCAAGATTTACAGAGCCACAATGGGCAAAGAAGGGGGATTGAGATACGAATTTTAATGTGATATGTGTATAGATGCATTTAACACAAAAATAATAGTTCAAGTACTTACAAAAACTATTATAGAAAAACTTTTTTGGGGGGGCATCTCAGGTTTAAATCACTCGGATGTGTAACAGCGCAAAGGTGACTAACAGTACAACACTGATTAGTTCTGTAGCGATAGTCTTCACCCTCATCCCTCCTTTCGTTTGGCTCTGCAGTTGTCTGCCCTTCGCTCTCCACTTCAGTATTGTAACTCTGCTGACCGAGCAGTGAAAAATGTACTCACCACTCTGAACTCAGCTGGCTATAATATGTAAAACGAAAAAATATAATAATTTTTACGAAGACCTGGGAAGGCATGGTGACGATTTACCACAAAAAGTATATGAAAGAATTAGGAATCCCAATAAATGTTGAAGCGTACATCCAATCTCAGGTGCTTAAGAAAACTCCGGAAGGCATACTATGTAACCAGAGACATAATCTCATTTTAGTGAATGACTTTGAAGAAGCTGTAAATCATGCAGTTAAGACGTAACAGAAGCTTCCCACATAGCAAGATGAGTCTGAACCGGGTCTGGGCCAAATGTTGTTCAGAAATTGCCGCAGATCCGTAGACTAGATCTGATCCAGTGTCTTTTTGAACAACGGATCAATACTGGTCTGAATCCGCTTTCTGGATTTGAAATAGATAAGGGTCACATGTGGGCCAGAGTTACATTGAATGTTACCAAATCTGGCCCATATCGGCACCAGAATCAAAGTTAAATTCAGAGCAGCTTCCAGTGGGGGCAGTGAGTGGCTCTGTGGGCTGGTTCAAGCCCCGGCCTCAGCAGAGAATGCTGCAGATTCCCAAGCTATGAAGGGTGAGATGATGGTAGTGAAGAGAAGCATTCCAATGTACATGTACTTGTGTGAATGAAGCATGTTTCTTTGTTAAAATAATAATACTTTCATAAAGATAAATCATTTATCATAATATATTAAGACATGAAAATGTGAATTCGTCTATCGTTATGAGAAGAGCCGCAGCCGCATGGCTCGTGAGCCGCAGGTTGCTGACCCCCGGTATGTCATATAATTCTGTGAAGGCATGTCGACAGATGCCAGTGTGGGAAAGTGAAGCATCTGTTGCCAACTTGCATGTTAAACAACTTCAGTTTTGCCTGAAATATATTTACGTAACTGTACAATTCATGCATAAACGCATCCTTTCTATGAGGTTTTATATTTAACTCATTCAAATGGCTCAAAATGTCAACTGTGAAAGTGAAGTCGTACAGCCATCTCTCGTCATGCAGTTCTGGGAAATCCTGCGTCTTGCCTAAGGTGACACGGATCAGTTTATCCCATGACAAATTTAGTTGTTAAAGGCAGGCAGAAATGGCGATGAAATGTTCCTGTCCTGTTATACCTGTCAGAAATTCTTTGTTTTTTTTCCTCATAAGTTATTTCTTGTTAAATTCTCAATTCCTTGAATAAATAAGGAAAGCTGTGCCATATCTTTAATGTCCATACTATCCTCCAACACAACTGAAAAATACATATTTAAAGTCCTTAATTTTGCCATCCAACTGTGCACTCAGATCCATCCATCCATCCATTGTCCAACCCGCTTATCCTACTGGGTCGCGGGGGGTCCGGAGCCTATCCCGGAAGCAATGGGCACGAGGCAGGGAACAACCCTGGATGGGGGGTCAGCTCATCGCAGGGCTCACTCAGATCTTATCAATTAATTCCTTTCGCCGGGTTATTGTTACTTTATGTTCACATCCTGGGTGGAGGGAGCCTCAGTGATCGCTGTGGCCGCCCAGTCTGCGACACTAGCAAATGCGGGGGACACTCTCTGACGTAGGTAGAGTGGGTGGAGACAAGGTAGTTCAGAAATCGGGGCCTTGAAAACTTTTTAAAGGGGTCGCAAAGGCTTATCTTTGTGCCAGCTGCCGATATGGTATAATTTGTCAAAGCATTAGTAATTATGTTACAACAAACAATACAACGCTCTAAATAAGTAACGTTAATGAAACCGACAATTCACATTGTTTTGCATACTATGGTGCCAAAATGGTGCCACCTCGAATACCAATAATTTTAGATACCTTGGTTTATGCCAACACGTCACTATTACTAGAGGGTAAAAAAATGCCCTGTCAAGACATATTCTGTCTCATGGTTTATACCCTGACGGCATTCCATACAATTTCTCCTCCATTGTGCTTGGGACCTGTTTGGTTGGAACAAAGGTTTACATGCTTTGAGCAATCTAACACAACAGGGCCTGAAAGATCCTATTATGGGGCACAAATTTTAGCAAAGGAAATGGCTCTTAAACACACAAAGAGGACGCAGATACACAATCACATGGAAATGAACTGGACGCAAGCAGACCATAAGGCCTGTTCCTGAACTCAGTGGTAGGACCTTTTTGGGTGTGGTGAAACTGTGTGCAGGGGCTGGTGACTGGGACTGAATGGAGGACAACTTTCCCACTGAAGAGGGGGTCGTTTGGGCTTGACCGGAGGCCCAATGCTGGTCAGCTCTTCTGCTGGGCTGGATGAGGCTGGATTCTGTTACAGGCCTCAAGGGAAGGTTCTCCTTTGTGGTGTGAGACTCCTGCAGAGACATTCAGCAGATCAGCATCTACCAGAGCCTTTCTCTCAACCAGGCCATGTCATGATTTTGTAAATGAGAAGCATGAACCTCAGGGTGTTATTACCCACTAAAAGCTATTTTGAGAGTTTTCAGCATAGTAGATGAATACAGCACATTGTGTATCACAGTATGAAATCATTAAATACTGCTCCTATTCTCTGAAAGTGCAACTTACCTTGGATTTGCTGGTTTTACTTGAGGATTCAGTTATTCCAAGTTGCAGTGAGAGGTTCTGATGTCCATTATTAACCGACTGGCCCGAAATGTCGTTTCTGAAGGAAAAAAAGCAGAAGGCATCCAAGAGGCACAAAATCGAGCCAGTAAGATGATAGCTGTGCTACAACATCCTAATATTTCCTAAATGAGGTTTTTAATCTCGAACGAGATGCCCAAGGTGGTCCTGAGTGAACAGACTTTAGCAGGGTTTGAATACAAGCAGCCAGAAGAACAGATGAAAGAGAAATATGGTTAATATTGTGTATTGTCTGTCACTGGGTGAAGGACACACTGGCAATGTCAGTTTGTTCATCTGATTCTACTACATAGATTTTTATTCATTTGTATATATTATGCTTTTTAGTATGACATTGATATATGATTGGGGAACATATGCATGTTGAATCAAGCTCAATTTCCCCTTGGGGATCGAGAAAGTATTATCAATCAATCAATTAAATGGAGTAATTCTGTTTACAAGGTCAAGCACCTTCTGTAGTCACCCTTCCCTTTGCTGCCACTAAGTGGTGTTGCTTCCATTTTGGTGTGGTTTGTCTCAAAATTTATCCAGATCTTCACCATACAAAGGTCCGATAAATAATTTCTATCATGCTGGCAAGATCAAACTTCTGAGGCTGCCCTTCACTCTGCTATTACAATGTGACACAGTTTCAATTTTGGTGCAATTTATCTTTATTATTTAATCTGACCAGTTCTAGTTTGTCACCCATACAATGCCACTGCACGGATTGAAAAAGATCTGTCAAATACTTTTGTCTGAAACTGTCCTTTTCTTTGATATCGCTATGCAGTGCTGCTTCAGTTTTGTCTCAAATTACAATCACTTCCAGGTCTTTACCCATATAATGTGTCTGCAAAGATTCTAACCAATTTAAGTAATACTTATTGAGTTTTCATGATGACAAGATTAAGTGTCTTAGGCTGCCCTTCTCTTAGATATTACTATGTGGCACTGCTTCAGTTCTAGATCTTCACCCTCCAATTTTGTTGGCAAAAGTTAAAAATGATCTGTTAAACACATTTTGAATTATTGCAGTAACAAGATCAAGTGTTGTAGGCTGTCCTTTTCTTTGCTATCATTATTCAGCACTGCATTTATTTAGGTGCATTTTGTCTCAAAATTTGACCACTTTCCCCATACAATGTGTCTGTAAAGTTTGAATATCATTGGTCAAATACTTTTAGAGTTACAGGGTTCGCAAGACTACAGCCTTTATATTTAATCCTTTGATGCCACACAATATATTTTTTGGACAATTTGTCTGAAAATATAACCAGCTGTAGATCTTCATTCGTATTATGTTTTTCGGAAGCAGTAATAAGATCCATCCATCACTTTTTGATTTATCATATTTACAAGGTTAAATGTCATCTGTTTTCACCCTTCTGCTGCTACTAAGTGGCGTTGCTTCAATTTTGGGGCAAATTATCTCAAAATTTGATCAGTTCTGGTTCATCACCCAGACAAAGTTCCATGTTGCTTAATACTTTTGAATTATCACATTAATGAGAAAATAACTATGATGGTGGACTGTTCCCAAGACCATATGCATTCCCTGTCTGAGGAAAAATATGTATGTATGTAATAAGTATGAAATTAACAAAGTCAACGTAATCAAAATATGGTATATCTAATAAAAGAAGCCCAGTTATGCACCCATCTTGTAACGGTTTTATCCAGTTTGGCATTGCAAGGTACAATCATTGTGCAACACAATTACACTATGTGTACTGAGGAGCTCATGGCACGGCACTGATACCTGATCAGCCTCTGAGTCAGCCACGTGTGGAAGAAAGGAGCCTTCACCTTCCAGCACCAGAACAGGACCAGGACACCAGGTATCAGAACCAGGAAGGTCAAGAAAAGGCCCACCACTAGGCCCTGTTGGTCTGAAGACACCAAATCAGAACAAAACACACTTTATAGACATTTTGTAGAGCCTTCACATTGAACATGTGACTGCAAAAGAACACAAAACTTGGAAGAACACATGTGATACTGACAAGGCATACCTATGGAGCCCAGGTGCCAGTTGAACACAGATCACACAGGAAAACAGAATAAGGGTGTTTGACTGTCTTTTATAAGACACTGCAGTCATGGCATCACCCCCACAGACACTTAATCTAATCCAGCTGATTTACAATGGTGCCCAATGGGCCCGCTGCATAGAACCTAATCTGCCTGATTTACGACGGTGCCGAATGGGCCCGCTGCTTAGAACCTAATCCGCCTGACTCACAACAGTACCGAATGGGGCATCTACTTAGAACCTAATCCACCTGGCTCACCGTGGTACTGCATGGGCCTGTTATTCAGAACCTAATCTGCCTGAATCACCGTGGTACTGCACGGGCCCGCTATTCAGAACCTATTCTGCCTGACTCACCGTGGTACTGCACGGGCCCGCTATTCAGAACCTAAGTCGTTTCACTCACCGTGGTACTGCATGGGCCCGCTATCCACACTCCCCCCCAGACCTCGCTTGTCACAGAAGGGTGGGGCCCAACCTCGGTCACAGTGACAATTCTGGTTGCTGTTGCACACCTGTATCATGCACCCCCCACCACAGATACACACATATATTTACTGCATTTTCACTGTTTATCACAGAATTGCAACATTTGTTTGCAAAGGATGGATTGATGCTAGAGAAGTGTTGAGAAAAGGGAGACATGTAACCTATTAGGCTTAGCGGGCTGAAGACACTGGCTAATGTGCTTCGGCAGACATTAGAACATCAGTAATGACTCCTCTTTACAACATATCAAAATATTGTAATGGCCATGAGTAAATACTTTTCTCTTCTTCCTTATAAATTCAGTAGCACAGCTGATTTGGTGACTCAAGACAAAACTAGACTGTGCAAATGATCTTTTTGGATGCTGCTTACTGCTCCAGTTTGGACATGTATGCTCAGGGGCGTCAGAAGCATTTTGAATGTGGGGGGGGGGACACACTGGCATAAAACTAATATTTTATGTTAAATGTGGGGGGGTTCAAATGAATAATTATGAAATGTGCGGGGGACACATCCCTCTCAGATTTAATGGCAGGGACGCCCATGTGTATGCTCCATCACAGCAGTAACTGTATCCAGTGAAGCATGACTTCATTTTCTTGCTATTGCTACAAGCGTGAACAAATTTCTAGCAAAGTGTGGCCCTCACCCCGTGTCCGTGGCAGCGAGCGAGGCAGTTCATCAGCTCACTGAAGGATCTGTTCTGGCAATGGTGATTGATGCACACCTGAAGACAGAAGACACACAGATGCACTGGATCCTACCATGATATTGTTGCATGACAACAGTGATGTAGCCAGTTCTACTGAAATAGACCCATGAGCAAAAATATTATGACAACCCTCATCTGATACAAATAACAGGAGTATCTTGTAAAAATAGCGCATGTCAAGATCTGGGATATATTAGATGGTAAGCCAACATTTGGTACCCGTAGTTGATGTGTCGAATGCAGAAGAAATGGGCAGGAGTAAAGACCTGAGTCACTTTCTGAGGGGCCAAATTGTTATGATGCCAGATGACTGGGCTAGAGCATCACCAATACGGCAAAGCTTGTGGAGTGCTCATGATCAGCTGTGGTGCGTACATACTGACAGGATGCTTGGTATCAAGACTCATTAAGGTAGGATGTGAATGGAGGCTACCCAGTCTGGTACAAACCAACAGAACCGCTACTATAGTACAAATTAAGGTAATTTGGTAACACTTTACTAGAGGGGGCACAAATACTTCTTGTAACTGGCTACTACTGAAGTACAAAGCAAGAACAAATATAATCACTACTTGTGA